GGGGGGGTGGCTCTTGCCAGAACAGCGCTGTGTCAGGCGAGTAATCTACTTTCAACTGTACATATTAAAAATTATCATGTGACAAATTAAAACAATTATGAATGTTGAAGTCCTTTAGAAGTATCGAAGTTTTGCTTCTGCTTTATAAAGAAATCGGAAGTTTGCATTGTTAGTCTCGACTATGGGTCTGTACCGGAAATCAGCTGTTCCTTCACTTTCGCTTTACAGGATAAGAATCCCCCTCGTCGGCCATGAAAGTCGAGGTTTCTTTTAAAATTTTTTGCAGTCTTAGCTTATCCGAAACGGGTTTTCTGCGTCTACACACCACGTAGTCTCCTTCCGTCTCTGGGTATTTCCCCAAAGGCGTCGTCACTTGTAGATTGCCGTTTCCATTGAAGCCATTTTACAAAGCTATAAGGTAGGTCGCGTTGTATAAATACTTTAGAGACAACAACAACAGCCGCGAAGCTCAATTCCACGTTAACTATTGCCATTTTGGGTTAATGCTTTTCTTTTCTTTCCCTTTCTTTTCTTAGTCGTCGTGAAGTCACTTCTATCAACAAAACAACATGTCTCCGTTTGAAGAATATGACCATAGGATCAACGCTATCGCGGAGGATCTGACAACTGGGGACCGTACAAAGGCAATTTACCTTTGTGGGAGCTTGGTTACGGACAGCAGCGTGACTTGCGTTAGGGAGACTTTAAGAGTCAAAGTAAACTTTCACCCAGACCCTCCCCTGTTTCTAATGTCCATCCTCAGGCAGCTAGGACGTTACGACATTCTAAAAAGAGTCTACAAAGTGGATAGAAACGAGATAGAAAAGAAGGTTCAGACATATAAACAAGTTCTCCCAAGATTCAGGTAATATACTTTGTTTACCTTCCGTTTCAATAGTTGACCTTTCATTTACTAACGCATTTTGTCTTTGTGCAGAGTACTGATGGTTACTATAAGTGACAATCTCCAAATGGAGGATGTGGAGCAAATCAAATTTTTATTAGGCAGGACTTTATCCCTTGAAAAAAAAGAAAATGTCAAGGTAAACCCTTATATACTTTTACTTTCAGGCTGAGAGTGTGTATGGGTTTCTGTGACTATGTGCTTTGGCAACGGGAGGGTTTCACTTTGAATGAAAAATCTTACAGATGATCTGTTACAGACCTTCTTGGAAGTGATGATTGAACTGGAGAAGCTGGATTTAGTGTCACCCGAAACAGTAGAGCTTGTCGAGGACTGTTTGCGAAATATTGGCAGGCTTGATCTGGCCAGAACAGTGGCTGCTTACAAGATGTCAGGTGAGAACATTAATTGAAGAAGTTAGTATTTAAATGCTTCAAATGACTCATGAGATGATTATGAAAAGAGAACTGAAAATGAACATTTTTTTTTCTAAGCTGACTGAAATGGTTCATTAGGCATGCAATGAAGCTGAAGATTTTTGCACTGGTTTTGATAGAACGGTACAGCACAGTGTATTGTGTGCATTGATGCACAGTTGCAGATTTGTCAAGACGCGCATACTGACCCCTGTCCACCACTAAAAAAAATTAATTGTGGCCACATAACCATTACATTTGGACCATATGGACTGTGATACAATAAGGTGACCTGGTCTGTTGAACCTTTACCATTATGGGTGGGTGTGTGCGTTACTTATCTGGGGAACATCTGACATCAGGATGCACTATTACAAAAATGCAAGCCCAACATTTGCTTAAGTTGTTTTAGGTTGATATTTGCTGGGAAACCACAGGTCCCATTCGAAGAGGATCTTACTTGCAAACGTATCACATCCCTCTGCATTGTTTAAAACTAGATTCACCCTGTCATGGTTTTACTTAGCGGCTCTTTCAGCAGGACAATGTGTCCGACTAACAAAGGAGAAATGGTTCAGGGTTGGTTAAGAGTAGCACAATGACAGGTATGATCCATGTAGGCCCCAAGTCACAATTTAAAGAACTCAAATTATCTGGTGTTAACATCACAGTACACTTTTGAAGCAAAAGAGGGTCCAAAAACATTACAAATATGTCTATACTTGATATATGTTGGTTAGCTGATACAATTTCTCATTGACATTTAAAAAGATTTGTATAAAAATCTGTCTGATGCCGAACACTGTTGAGCAGGATGTCATACAATGATCCTGAATGCAACTGGATAACCAAACTCAATGAAAAATCTGTTAAACCAAAAGATTTAGTGTCTTGTGCAGTGATTGATTGCAAACCATATCAAGACTGAACAAACGTTTATATATAAAGATTATTAAAAATCTAAAAGAAAAAAAAATCATTTTAAAAAAGTCTGAGGACTTTTGGTCAAGATCACTTTAAACAAATTACAGAAAGTATTTGTCTAGTTTAGATCGAAGCACAAGAAACAAGTGCTGAGTCAAGACAGCCCTGGCACGCTGGTTAGATAATAAAAATATATGAACATTATATGCTACTCTTGTTAAGCTTTTAGCTAATAGGAATGGACAGTAATTGTCTCTCATCTTCTGTTCATTTTACAGGTGCAACATCTGAACACTCTTTGCCTCCACAACACAGTGGTCAAGCTGCTGTGAGTAAAATATTGAAAAAAGGTCACAATTTATATAAGGTATAAAATGGTATCGTGTGTTATATTTGACATCACACCTTACTGTTATTTATTTTACAACTCATCTTGCCTTTTCATCTGATTAACATTAAATACGATTTTCATCAAATTTGTATTTGTTAGAAAAAAAGGTGTTTGGCAATTAAAATTGTGTTTTGCATAGTTTAAATAAATAATTAGAACTCCCAAATTGACGTTTTTACCCACAGTAAATGGCCCTAAATCTGCGCCTTTATTACTGTGATGGGTTTGTAATGATGCATTAATGACACGTGTATGTTTTGTTTTTACATTTTAGAGACAACCTGACCAGTACAACTTAAGGGCCGATCAGAGAGGAGTTTGTGTTATTATTGACTGCGTAGGTAATGATGGAGGTGAGTTACAAACATTTATTTAAGAAGAGGTACCAACACAACAACAAAACTTTGATTTCCATCCAAAATATTCAGTAAAATGTGGAAGCATCGTAAGTGCAAAGCGCCTCATTGTTGTTTTTATTCCTCTTCGTCATCATATTGTAACTGAGATGCTTTGTATTGCTGTTAGTTTTTCAGAGCTACTTTTCAAAGTTTTTCGAAGCAGGCCCTCCCCACACACAGGTCAAGGTTAACATGTTGTGGGAAAACAAAGTTATTAAGAAATAATTGCATCTAAAAGTTGCAGGAGTCTGTCTGGCCCTTGAAGACTCCAGTTTAAGACCCCTACTTTAAAAAATTTAAAACAAAAAAAAAAAAAAAAAAAAAGTTAAATTCATGAACTTTTTAAGTTGACCAGATGTATATAAAACTTCTAATTTTTAATCCTTCACATTCTGTTTCCATGAATTATAAGTATGATATGTATGGAAATGCCCCTCATGTCCACTGTTGGGTAAGGTGGATGATCAGTGATATTATGTTAAAGGTCTTTACCATAGGCGGCAACACATTTACTCACATCTATATAAAGTGATATACAAAATGATTGTTTACTGTCCGATCACAATGTCTTTTTTATAATCTCATGTCATCTTTTCTTCCTCAGGAATGTTAGAAAACACGTTTAAGGCTCTCCACTTCAACGTTCTCTACCACACCATGCTGGGTGCTGATGAGATTTTTGAAACTCTTAAAGAAGTCTCCAAACACAGACAGAGCCTCAACGAGGATGCTTTTGTCTGCTGCATCATTAGCCGCAGCTTCGATGACAATATCCTGGGCACAGACTCGCATGGTAGAGGTCTTTCTGCCAAAAACATCAGAGATCTCTTCTTAGGTGACAGTTGTCCTGTGATGGTCGGCAAGCCGAAACTTTTCTTCATCCAGAGCTACGTGGTTCCCGAGTCTGAGCATCTGGACCAAGACGGCTGCGACGGCTTAGCCATGAGAGAAACCCCCCCCACAGAAGCAGACGTACTCTGGAGTCACTGCTGGACAGATGAAAGCCAGCTGCTACAAGAGCAGCATCACTCTGTTTACCTAAAAGCACTGACTGATGCCTTAAGCAAAGCCAAGAGGAGGTAATATTCCCAATAAATGTCATCTATGCTCAACATCGTGTTCTGCTCATCTAAACTGCTTCTGTCATTGTCGTCACAGGAAAACTGATCTGCTTGATGTTCAAATGAAGGTGAATGGAGCCATTCATGACCATAACCAAAAACATCCTGAAGCAAATTACCGTTGTGATGTAAAACACACTCTGAGAAAAAATCTTTATCTAGAATAGAAAAGTGACAGAAACATTATGACTTTTACTAACCACCTAAAACTGTGGCGCTGGACTCACTACATGCCTCATGAAGAACATGTTTTCTGTGTGTATACTGACCTCTAGTGGTTAAAATGAAAGAAGACACCATAGAGGCGTAATAATGGATTTATTAAACGTCTATTTATTTCAGTAATTTAATTCAAAAAGTTAAAAATCATATATTATTGAGATTCATTGCAAACATGATGATATATTTCCAAAATTTAAATCTGTTAGTTTTGATATTTGTGGCTTACAGCAAATGAATTCCTAAAATTCAGTGTCTTAGAAAATGATAAGAACAATAACAAATACAAATGTTTAATACAAAAATTAAATTAGGGGTTTTTATAAGCTGTAAGTTATAATTATAAAAATTTGTGACAACAAAATGTCACTTTTTCAATTGAATGATTACCACTTTTTAATGAAATTTCTATAACAAACTGTATTCTTGTTTATGTGCTGCAATATTTAAGTATGTTTTCTCACACACAAACTATATATATATTACATGATAAATATAACATATATGTTCATATTCATATAGTCTGAAAACTCATTTTATTGATTAACATTAGAAAAGCTGAAAATTTGCAATAACTTGGCGTCTTTTGAAATATTTGACCTGCAGATCAGTTCTCTTTTCAATTATTTTCAACTCTACGCACAGACATATACAACCATTGAACATGACCTCTGATGTTTGACTTTACATATATGTGCGACTCTCATACTGCGACTCTCTTTTAATTTTTAGACATTCTTTGTAAATGAAGGACTCTGGGCATTTTCTCATTCATTTTTTTATTTATTTATTAAACTGAAAAATTGTTATTTTTTTAATCAGCAAGCAAAAAATGTCATTAAAATTTAATTTTACATCAACTCTTAGTTGGCAGCTAATGGCAAAAAAAATAAAATAAAATAAAAATCAGACTTCAAAATAAAGAAGTAAAAAATAGATTGTACACTATGCTACCTTCATGCCCTGTAGGGTTTGAATCATTTCAGGTTTGTGCTTTGCTAGTCTTCATAAAATCTTAAGTCTAATTTATATATTTATGTTGTTGTCAGGCATGTGTTGCCCATTTTATTCATGTGTTGCTCATTTTACAAAGCCTTTTATGTTTTTATTCACTTTATATGAAAAACTCTAACTAAAATGATTTTTTTTAACTATCAGCTAATAGAGAGGATCCGTAAGATATGAATCATGTCAGATATCTAAAACCAACAAACTGTTGACACTTTTCCTGGCGAAACTGCTTTCATTCATTTTATTGCCATTAACTTCCAGTGAGGTCTTTGTTGAATATGATACATGTGGTAACCCTTCATGTTGATGTACAGTGCAAAGAGAGGGAAGTTGAAGAGAAATTGAATATAAAGATGTAAATTCAAGTTAGACCAAACATGCAGAACATTACATCATATGAAAAATCTCAACAAAAATCATTGGCCAGACAAAATAAACATTAGAACTGTTTTGAAAATGTAACTAAGCAATTGTTTTCTGTTACCTCGCTGTTCCTTTTACTACTTCACATTATTTTCTATTGTCTTGTTATTAATTGTGTCTAAAGGACATTTGTCATTTTGTATTTATGTAGTACAAAAGTTGTCTGTTTTGTTGTTGTGTTTTTTTACATTCCTGAAATGTAATGTATTTGTATTTGATGTATCTAATATTAAATGTAGCGTTTTCATTAGCAAGACCTCATGATAGCAGAAATGCGACCCTATGTAATTAATCCAGGTTTTGTGCTTCTCTTGGTAAATTATTACTCTGATTACAATTTATTTATTTATTATTTACCTTACAAATTATTAACGTTTGATGGTTAGAAAATATACAATCTCCATGATATATTCATGGGCATTATCTTTTAAATACTGTCACAAGAACAAAAACACTAACATTGTTTTGGAATGTGTTTCATTACTTATTTATTTCTGCTTGACAAGCAACAGAAATAATGTTGCTTGTCATTATTGGGAAGAGGAATGACCGTAGGAAACAGGATTTCATCTTTATGTCAACTCTGACAAATATATTTTTTATATCGGCGCTCAGGAAGCCCTGACTCAAATATTCACGTTAAACTTGAAGGGGTTTTGCTTGACCAAACTTTGAAATTGGGTTGTCTCTTATATGACTATTTAACTTGTCTATGACCCTTGTACACTCACAGATCTTCTACCACACTTTTTCACTCCACTCAACTCTATGACTTTGTAAAAGCGGCTCAACATATATTCAGCCTACTGCTTTGGGTCCCTGCCCTAATCTTTGCACAGTGTAAATCTCAGGGATAGTTTTGTTGACTGACAGTTTTAGTAAGCTGCACCAATTTGTTTTCAAAATGGAAAACAGATTTATGTAAACACACTGACAAGAGTTTGATAGTAAATTGAATGCCGCAGTGGTAGCTTAATATTTTACATTTCATTTTCACTTAACTGCTTGCAAATAAATCTCAGTGAATAACTGAAAATTTCTCCATGGCTTTGGGAGTACAATAAAAATAAAATTGGATTCCCCCTGCTTTACTTTACCTCACGGTACTCTGAGTGCGACACTCAACAAACTGGAGAGAAACCAAATGGCCATAGATTATTTTTTTAGTTTTTATCTTCAAAAACATTTCATCCATAATGTATTTTATGTAACGATGACAAATTTACACTAAAGTTCTTTATTTGCAGTCCTTTGCTCAATAAATTAATTGAACTTTTAAACTGAAAAAACAATGCAACCTGACAGATTTAGGGAGTTAATTTATGCGCTACTTGCACAATGAACAAGCAAATAAACATTGTGCAAGTGGTCCCCCCTATCTAAGTCTGCTTGTTATAATTCTTCATGTGTAGATTATAAAATGCTTCTAACAATTCTATCAAAAAATACTTTGTCATTAGTCTGATTTTTTTCCTACCATACTTTTTTCTTCCACTCAACTTTTCTGTAATATGCAAAATATGCATTTTTTCAAAAATATTTTCTGCCTTTCTGTGGTTCTGGTTTTCTTTAAATTTCATTTACGTCGCAGACAGCACGGGCACGCTTTTGTAAATCTCAGAGTGTTTGAAAGTGCCTCAAAAATATGACAGTAGGAGGCAGGCAAGTTGTGTAAGGAGCTCTAGCACAGAGTTCACAAACACACGCTCACACACATACGAGCTACCCTCGTCGTGAACGCGCACCGTGAGGACTGCTGTTGCTATGATGCAATGGCGACTGCGCCGTGGGAAGCGAGCGAGGAGTTGAATGAGTTTCCTCCACAGTTGAGGACACACAGCCGCCGACAGTCCTTGTGGGGAGCCGACAGCCGCGGACACAGCGATAGAAGCCTTTCCGGACTCTGTGCATGGCAACACGGATCCAGGTGTGTCCACTAGCCTTGCAGCTAGCCGTGTCATGAAGGTTGGAGAGATTTCACACACCTTTGCAAGACGCAGCGAGGCAGGAGAGGCCCCAACACCCTGTTCGCTCTGAGCCGAAACGCACCCAGGAGCGCCTGTACACTCCGGTTTATTTATTTATTTTTGTATTCATTATTATTAGTCACGTTTTGTGGCATTGTCCTCATCGCCTCAGCGGACCGCATCGTACTGGACCACCATGGCTGAGAGAACCTCCGCCGGGTTGCTCTCAATGATGCTGGAACCCACGCCGGCGGTCGCGATGACCCTTCCGGCGGAGGTCCGGGAGAAGCTGGCGGAGCTGGAGCTGGAGCTGTCTGAAGGTAAGTTAAGCTCGGACTGCAGGCCAGGGTGTCCTGACTGGGGTCTTCCTTTAGGTGTGACAGCTTTCAGGACCACCGCCCTTTATTTTGACTTTTTGTGTACACTGTTTGAAAACATATCGGCATCACTGTCGCCCCTCTTCTCTGTTTATTTGAAAGAAAAATGCCCCAAATGAACTTCTACCTTTTTGTATCCTCTCATAACAGGGACTTAAAGGTCAGGAGGTTATGACTCGAAATGAATTTAATTCAGTGTTTTTGTCCTGAAGTTTTACATTTGATCACAGATCAATCATATCTGATCAAATGGATCTAACCCAACAACCACACTGACACGCCCGTGATACTGATGTATGCTTCACTCAGTCTCCTCTGTTAGAAGCATATAAAAGTTATCCATCCATCCATTTTCTATACACCCTTGTCCCTTGGTGGGGTCGGGAGGGTTGCTGGTGCCCATCTCCAGCTAACAATCCGGGCGATAGGCGGGGTACACCCTGGACAGGTCGCCAGTCTGTCGCATAGAAAAGTTATAACTGTATTTATTGTAAAAGCAGCTTTAAGAATTTTTCTTAATGTCAGGTTTTGTTTACTTGCAAAATCCCTTTTAATGCTTCAACTATGGCATTTATTGTAAACAGAGCCCAAAGCATTCAAACAAAGCATTCTGCCAGATCACTCAAAAGGTATTGATCAACACCATTGATTTCAATCTGTTATCTGAAATTTATCTTTGATTAAATAAATATATATAGCCTATATATATTTTTCACATTAGCTCTATGAATGCATAACCACAAAATCGCTTCAACAGACAAAATGTTGTGTAAGCCACCTCATTGCAGTTTTTTCCTGCATTGTGTCCACTTTCCATTAGCCCTTCCTGCTTGATCCTTCCAAAGATTGGAATTAGATTTCCTCATATTTGCTAATCACAGGACTTAACGCTAAGTTGTTGTAAATCAGCTCCTTACAGCGGGCTCATTGGTTGCTGGTAAGCAGAAATCCTCAGAATGCACTAATCTAGTCCTCTGAACAAAAAGAAAGAAGTGCTTGTTTTTGTCCACAAAGGGCTTGTGTTGTTTTTTTGGGTTAATTCAGTGAGACTCATTGTTAAGCTCTTTCCTATTATCTAGTAAAATTAGCTAAGCTGCAATAAAGTTCTGCTAATTAATGACCTACATTAATTCTGATTAGATTTGTCATTTGACCCGTTTTGGTTTTTTTCTTCTTTTTTTTTTGTGAGAACAGAGGAGGTCAGGTCTAGAGTCACATTTTAGATGCCACTTTTTTCTCTTTGGGGGTTGTCTCTGCTGCAGAATCCCACCATGGTTAGAAGTAGACCCAAGGTGCATACACTTTAACAACCACATTAGCTGCCTCTGAAGCCTCTAATGGAATACACATGTTTTCAAGAGTGGCTACCCATCTAATCTATATATGTCCAGTTTCCTCTTCCTGCTCTCCACATGTCACATCCTGCTCTGTCCCAGCTCAGATAGCACTGTCTCCTTGCTTTTCTGCCACTGACATCCCGAGTTGTCCCTTTCCAAGTCTTGTCCCTGTTCCGTGTTTGTCTCCAGGCCTCGCTGCCTCCATACTTCCTATATTTCTTTTCTGATCAAAGAAAGGAATGTCATGTTTTGAAGGCTAAAGAGATGACTTCTTTTTCGCTGCTCCCTCACGGACTATTCCTGTTTGCTGCTCTGAACTTTTCACCCCGTAATGATGCTCTTAAAATGCATCAGCCCTTGTGTTGTGTCTGAGTACAGTATATTTTAGGTAACTCATTTCATCAGAAGCAGATGAAAACCTGCAAGTCCTGCGGAAAAGATTTCTACGCTTCAAAACGAGCTCTTCTGCCTGAGACAGAAAATCAAGACACATTTCTCTCATATTGAGAAGCATACCTTGGTTCCTTTTGCATATCTGAGTGAATGACTTGATGTGTGAGTGTCATGAAACATTTTATTCATGCAAAGTGTGATGCACACTATCCTATGCTGTTTATCAGACGGATTTGTCTGAGTAGTATCAGTTTGAGGCTATCCAGCAGCACAGATAGATAATATTCCAGCGTCAGCATCTAGGGCCAGCTGATGTGTGAAATAAACAATCTGCAGCAATCTTATAACTGTAATGGTAGGTAGGTTTCCCCCAGGGATGTATTCATTTTCAAATTCTCTTGTTTTTGTTTCTATTTTATTGGATAAGTGTTTAAAAGATGTTGCGAAATCTGCTTTGCAGCTTTCCAGTAATTATTATTTTTTTAAATAATGCACCATTTACTTTAGCGAAACAGATGAGACACTGCTTTATTTCTTATATGGTTTGTAATTATCATCCAGATAATTCTGCAACTTTCCCAAACTGGATTCACCTCCAATCAAATTCTCAGCTTTGGGGCTATTAGAAAGAACCTGTTATCTCTCATCTGCTGACCTAAATGCAGATGATGGCCAAAAGATAGGGCATAAAGGAGGCCAAGAAGATGGATGATCCCCATTATCTCCTGCAGGGAAGAAGTAGAGAGCGAGACGTGTCTGCTGAGTAATTCATAGAGCTTAGTCTATCATTCCCTGGGTTTCCTGCCTTCCTCCTCCATTTGCTCTCTAAACCCTCTGATTACAACGTCATTTTTAGTCCAGCGCTGCTGAAGTTTGCATGGGTAAATGCCAGAGCTTTGACTTGTCATTGCCCTTGTTTACAATGCTCCCATTGAGCAAACATTTACAGGGGACTTATGTGTTTTGTCTTGTTTATGGTCACATGAATGCACTGGAAATGTATGCTGAGGAGTGCACAGAAAGTGTGCTGAGGACAGAATAACTAATTCTTTGAAACCTAATACATGTTAAGATATTCTTTATCATTTGTCACATTGTTTCATTAAGGATACAGGCACTAGATTTTTATCTCTGACCTAGAATCTGCTGCTGGTTTGACCCAATTTCCCCATGGAGACCATTAAAGTTTCACTATTTATCTAAGCTGTTAGATAAGGTGCAGCATAATTTGCTGTATTCCAGCAGGTGAACAAGTCTGTCATAGGGTAATAGTACTCATAAGATGAAGACAGATGGTTTCATTATACAGTACAGTTTCATTTGTACTGTACAGTATTACAGTACAAAATATTCATATCTAGATTTTGTAAAGTACTTCTAATATATATATTTGGGATTTTAAATATAGAATAAATGTAAAGTTATACATATCTGAAGAGCTGAGGGGGAATAATAATTGTTTAATTGGCATAAATATTTGTTCAGACTCCTTTACTGTGATCCCCCCCAAAAAATCTAGATTAATGCAACCAAAGGTTTAAAGGTTAGATTATAAAACATCTCAAACACTGACATTCAAAACACTGCTAATCTGCCATGTGAATGTTAAAAGAAGTATGACAGATCTGCAAAAAATATTCTGGAGGAGCTTCAGAGATCAGTTTGTTCATTAGTTGTGCAATTCAAACAGTTTTGGCCCTTGTGTAAGAGTGGCAACAAGAAAGGAATTGTTGAAAGAAAGTAATCAACAGTCCCACTTTTAGTTTGCCTCTAGCCATGTAGGAGCACCAGCAAAGATATGGAGGAAGGTGTTTTGTTCAGATGAAATCAAACTTGGAAGTTTTTTGGAATACAAGCAAAACACAAAGTGCAGCGCAAATAAACAAAATGCATGACAATTTTTCAGATTTTTATAAGTAAAAAACCCAATAAAAACATTTTAGTATTTGAAATACAAAAGAAAGTTGATGGGGTATTAATACTAGCACGGATACATTTAAAGCCACTTTCTACTAGATATGATTTTCTTTTGTCAGCGTTTGTTTTCCAGTTGAACCTAAAACTTGGTCCTTGTCCTGAAAGGAGGGTGTGGTCAGTGGATAGCTTTGGTGGCCAGCTCTTTGTAAACCTCCTCGGTGGAAAGTATGACTGTTCAGGAAACCCCAGTGAGCTGGACTCCCGAGTTTGTTAGGAAAAGACCACATCTGTCAACCACTGTTTAGAGATACAAAATCATTCTGTGGTACCTACTGTCCAAAAGGACATGAAATTAAAGAAAAAAACAGATACCACTGGGCCTGCTGTGAATTTAGCCTGTTATTTCAGACCAAACAATGAATGAATATAGACATAAATTAAGAGCTTGAAGCAAATGTAGAGGATTTAGGATGATTACCGAAGGAGCTTTCAGCATTGCTCCTGTGCTCTGTAATAGGATTCAATGAGAGGAATGTTGAGTCTTTCAGCCTCCAGTTTGGCTGCTGTAGCTGTTCTGAAGTCCAGCAGGAGCTACAGAAGCAGTACTGCTTCACCCCTATCATAGTTTAGTAGGGGTACCATTATAAATATTTCAAGGGTGTGCCTCAGATCAGAGTAAAGCTTCAGATACTTGTGCTGCTCTCAAGCAAAACCGCATTTTTCTCACTGCCAACTTGTGCACAAGTAATTGTGTTGTACATGTTTGACTTCATTTACTTTTGTTTGTGCCTCTGGGTGCTTTGTGGAGTCGGTCCTTCCCATTCTTTTTTGGTTACATACCACATAGCTTTGTTTTGTTTTAACCCACCAATGACCTACAGTAAACGCTATTGTTTTTCCTGCATGCCTTGCTCTCTTCTCACTCCTTGCCTCTTGTTTTTTTTAAGCACTCCTCTGCTTCCTGTCTGTCTTTGTACTGTAGGAGCCATGAATATTTAAAGTACTGCAGTATGTCAAAGTGTGTCTGAAATATATATATTTTTTCTTGATTTCCTCAACTCTTGTGGAGTCTACACAGTTTTTATCTTTTCTCCAGATAAAGTATTGGACTTTTTATGTGTTTGAATTGCTCTTATTTGCTGTTACTGGGACTTAAACCAATGATTATTGTATTATCACACCAGAAGTTATTTTTTTCACTATTTTTATGGAACATTAAACATCCATTCGTTCGACCTTTCTTCCTTGCTTGTCAGAAATGTTTCCCACACATTCACACTAAACCAGATGGAAAAC